AACCCAGAGGGACAAAGGATTCCCGCCTTATGCAAAAGATATATAAGTGGGTGGAAAAGAACAAATGGGGGGCCATCATGAGAAATCCCATAGCTACCACCTGAGCTGGAACAAGGGCTGTACCAGGGGAAAGGATTGTGCCCAGACTAGGAATGCATCCAGTCTGTGAAAGAAACTTATTGAAACATCTCTGAGGGTGAGATTTTATCTGTATTCAGTTTTATTATTGTACTAGGCTTAGACTTGTGTGTTCTATTTTATTTTGCTTGGTAATTCACTTTGTTCTGTCTGCTACTACTTGGAACCACTTAAATCCTATTTTCTGTATTTAATAAAATCACTTTTTACTTATTAATTAACCCAGAGAATGTATTAATACCGGGGGGGGGGGGGCAAAGAGCTGTGCATATCTCTCTATCAGTGTTCTAGAGGCTGAACAATTTGAGTAAAATGGATTTATTTGGGGTTTAGACCCCATTGGGAGTTGAGCATCTGAGTGTTAAAGACAGGAACACTTACCTGAAATCTGCTTTCAGTTTAAGCCTAAAGCTGTTAGGGGATGTGGTTTAGACCCTGGGTCAGTGCTGGAGCAGACTGGAATGTCTGGCTCAACATGACAGGGTGTTGGAGTCCCAAGCTGGCAGGGAAAGCAGGGGCAGAAGTAGTCTTGGCACATCAGTTGGCAGTTCCCAAGGGGGGTTCTGTGATGCAACCCATCACAATAAGTATTGGCTCTATACTTGGATTTCAAATGTTTGCTCCTGGGGTAGCGCCCAGAAGGTAACGCCCAGCATATCTTGGAGAAACACTTGGTTAACAATGGACCATGGGAGATGCCCATCTACACTGAGTGTACTGTCATGTAAATGTGCTGTCTGGAGTGTAGGTAATGGCTTCATGCAATGACTGAGGAAAATTGGGCATGAACATGTGACTTGCCCATGTGACTCCAAACTTCCATCTTGTTGCTGTGATTTTCAACAGTAAGAACAATGGCATGCCCTCCACATGGCAAAAGCTATAAAAGGCCCTGGAAACACCTCCATTTTGTCTTCAATCCTGCTCCTTACTTCTGGAGGAACCTTGCTACAAACTGAAGCTCTGAACAATGGACTGAATGACCCATCCAAGCTGTGGATGTACTCCAGAGACTTGACTTAGGCCAGCAGTTTATTCACTACAAAAAGAAGGATTCTGCGTGGACTCCTCCTGAAGGTCAAAACAACAGACTGGACTTCTACATAGAGTGCTTCCGTTGATGTGCATGGCCTGAAATTGTGGAAAAGCAGCATCACTTGCCCCATAACCTCAGCCATGCTGAACACGACGCCATCAATAGCCTCAGGAATAACTCTGACATCATAATCGAAAAGGCTGACAAAGGAGGTGCTATCGTCATCATGAATAAGTTGGAATATGAACAAGAGGCTGCTAGGCAGCTCTCTAACTCCACATTCTACAGGCCATTATCCTCTGATCCCACTGAGGATTACCAAAAGAAACTACACCATCTGCTCAAGAAACTCCCTGAAAAAGCACAGGAACAGATCTGTACAGACACTTGCCTAGAACCCCGACCAGGGGTATTCTATTTGCTACCCAAGATCCATAAACCTGGAAATCCTGGATGCCCCATCATCTCAGGCATTGGCACCCTAACAGCAGGATCATCTGGCTATGTGGACTCTCTTCTCAGGCCCTATGCTACCAGGACTCCCAGCTATCTTCGAGACCCCACCGACTTCCTGAGGAAACTACAATGCATTGGTGTTCTTCCTGAAAACACCATCCTGGCCACCATGGATGTAGAAGCCCTTTACATCAATATTCCACATGAGGATGGACTACAAGCATTCAGGAACAGTATCCCTGAAAAGGCCACAGCAAGCCTGGTGGCTGAGCTTTGTGACTTTGTCCTCACCCACAACCACTTCAGATTTGGGGACAACTTATACCTTCAAGTCAGTGGCACTGCTATGGGTACCCGCATGGCCCCACAGTATGCCAACATTTTTATGTCTGACTTAGAACAACGCTTCCTCAGCTCTCGTCCCCTAGTGCCTCTCCTCTACTTGCGCTACACTGATGACATCTTCATCATCTGGACCCATGGAAAAGAAGCCCTTGAGGAATTCCACCATGATTTCAATATTTTCCATCCCACCATCAACCTCAGCCTAGAGCAATCCACACAAGTGGTCCATTTCCTGGACACTACTGTGCTAATAAGTGATGGTCACATAAACACCACCCCATACCAGAAACCTACTGACCAATATACTTACCTACATGCCTCCAGCTTCCATCTCAGACACACTACACGATCCATTGTCTACAGCCAAGCTCTAAGATACAACAACATTTGCTCCAATCCCTCAGACAGAGACAAACATCTACAAGATCTCTATCAGCATTCTTAAAACTACAATACCCACCTGCTGAAATGAAAAAACAGATTGACAGAGCCAGAAGAGTACCCAGAAGTCACTTACCTACAGGACAGGCCCAACAAAGAAAATAACAAAACACCACTAGCTGTCACCTTCGGCCCCCAACTAAAACCTCTCCAGCGTATCATCAAAGGTCTACAACCTATCCTGAAAGATGATCCCTCACTCTCACAGATCTTGGGAGACAGACCAGTCCTTGCTTACAGACAGCCCCCCAACCTGAAGCAAATACTCACCAGCAACCACACAACAATAACACTAACCCAGAAACCTATCCTTGAAACAAAGCCCGATGCCAACTCTGTCCACATATTTATTCAAATGACACCATCATAGGACCTAATCACATTAGCCATGCTATCAGGGGCTCATTCACCTGCACATCTACCAATGTGATATATACCATCATGTGCCAGCAATGCCCCTCTGCCATGTACATTGGCCAAACTGGACAGTCTCTATGCAAAAGAATAAATGGACACAAATCTGACATCAGTAATCATAACATTCAAAAACCAGTAGGAGAACACTTCAACCTCTCTGGTCACTCAGTAACAGACTTAAAGGTGGCAATTTTGCAATAGAAAAGCTTCAAAAACAGACTCCAATGAGAAACTTCTGAGCTTGAATTAATATGCAAACTAGATACCGTTAACTTGGGTTTGAATAGAGACTGGGACTGGCTGGGTCATTACACATATTGAATCTATTTCCCCATGTTACGTATCCTCAAACCTTCTTGTCAGCTGTCTAAAATGGGCCATCTTGCTTATCACTACAAAAGTTTTTTTTCTCCTGCTGATAATAACTCATCTTAATTAATTAGCCTTTTACAGTTGGTATGGCTACTTTCACTTTTTCATGTTCTCTGTATGTATATATATCTTCTTACTATATGGTCCATTCTATGCATCTGATGAAGTGGGCTGTAGATCATGAAAGTTTATGCTCAAATAAATTTGTTAGTCTCTAAAGTGCCACAAGTACTCCTGTTCTTTTTGCCATTACCATATGTAATTGATTCCTTTAACCAATTTTAACTCTCACCTTTCTTTCTTTCTTTTTATAAATAAACCTTTAGATTTTAGATACTAAAGGATTGGCATCAGCGTGATTTTGGGGTAAGATCTAAGTTAAATATTGACCTGGGTATGTAGCTGGTCCTTTGGGATCAGAAGAACCTGTTATTTGATGAAACTGGTTGTAAAGAACCACTCATCTGAATCCAGTGGTTTTGGTGGTGATATAAGAACTGGAAAGCTTGAGGAAACTGCTTTTATGTTTTCTTGTTAGCCCGTGTGGTGAAACAGGAGTTTACTTTTGTGGCTGGTTTGGTATATCTTATAAAAGAATAACCACCAGTTTTGGGTTGTGTTTCCCCTATTTCTCAGCAGTTCGTCCTGAATTTGGCATCCTCAGTTGTGACCCACTAAGGCACGGTTACAGCAGGTTAAACATCTTTTAGCTTAGTTCAGCACAGAAGCATTAAATGCTGTTACTTTCAGAATCATAATAAGTCTGGAGTTTTCTCCTTTAAAATATTAGTGAAAAAAGTTCTGAGACTCCCTAACCCACCCCCCTGCCCCAGAGATCCAGAAGTTGGTCTCCTTTTCTGTGGTATCAGTTTGCAGCACAAAAATTGTACTCACATTTTCTGGTTCCACCCGCAATAGTAGTAATTAGAAGGTTAGTTTCCTGATTTGAGAGCACAAATCATCTACTTAGCAATCCACTTGACCTTACAGTACTCGTGGCAACAGTGAACTATGGACACAAGCTTTGTTGGTGTAAATTCCACCCATGAAAATGGAGAGGGGGTTGAGGCTTGAACATCTGGAACTAACAGAATTAAATTTCTAACAATACCATCACTTTAATCTAGTCCTCATTTTAATTCACACATAAAACAATTACTTACATTTGGTACCGTACCTGCTTAACTACTTAAACTCAAGTAAATTATAGTTTAGAATTTTCATATGAAAGAAAAACACAAATCCTCAGCACAGGGGGATGGACTAGATCAGTGGCTCTCAACCTTTCCAGTCTACTGTACCCTTTTCAGGAGTCTGATTTGTCTTGCGTACCCCAAGTTTAGCCTCACTTAAAAACTACTTGCTTACAAAATCAGACATAAAAATACGAAAGTGTCACAGCACACGTACTGAAAAATTGCTTACTTCTCTTTTTAATTGATATATATAAAATTATAATACATGTATATAATTATATACAGAGAATTATAAAAGAAATAAATATTGTACTTATCTTTAAGTGTATAGTGTATAGAGCCATATAAATCATTCATTGTCTGTATGAAATTTTAGTTTGTACTGACTTCACTAGTGCTTTTTATGTAGCCTGTTGTAAAACTAGGCAAATACCTAGATGAGTTGATGTGCCCCTGGAAGACCTCTGTGTACCCCCAGGGGTACGCGTACGCCTAGTTGAGAACCACTGGACTAGATGGCTGGCCAACCTCTTAAGGTCCTTTCCAGCTCTACATTTCTATGAAATAGGCACAGTTCAGAGTTGCTATTGTTTACTCACCTCATGGCTTTGCTTTGCTGGTCAGCTGTTGTAATGCAGCTTGGCTTCTTTTCTTACTAACCTGGGATGTTGACGCTGGCTGCTATTCCTCTACTCCATTTTATAGGCATCCCAGCATCATGTGACATGGGCTTTTCCTCAGCAGTTTAGTGAAGTAAATGGAAACTAGAAAGTGAAAGCTATGCACAGCTCTCCGAACGCACAATAGAAAAGCTGAACTAGCTGCTGTCAGGGAAATTGAAACTTAAGGGACGTGGATTTCTTTCTTCTGTTCACATTTGGCTTTATGCCATTGATTTAACTGTTCTACAGAGACTAAGGCAATAATAGCCCAGACTGTTCAGATAGACCTTCCTAATATAAAAGAATTTAAGGCTTTTCTTTGTTTAAAATATAAAGATTTGTGGAAATAGATAGAGGAAAGATTTGTGGCTAGTGGATTGAACATAGGGCTACCATACGTCCAGGTTTCCCTGGACATGTCCGGCTTTTCGCTCTTTAAATAGCCGTCCGGGGCGGGGGGGATTTATAAAAATCTAAAAATGCCTGGGATTCTCCCCCGGTCGGCTATTTATCGACCGAAAAGCGGCTGACAGGGTGGCCGAGCACCGCTCGCATTGGGGCCTCGGCAGTCAAAGCCCCTTCCCGGCTCCCCCCATCCCCTAAAGCCTTAGCACGCTTTTTTCAAACCCCTCTGCCAGCTCAGGAGAGGCACCAGAGCTAAGCACTGCGAAGCTGGCCCAGCCCCTGCAGCCCCCACTCCCTGGCCTATGCACACACTATAGCAAAGGGATCAGCTGAGACCAGCTGGGGTGTGTGTATGGGGGGGGGCGACACCACCAAGGGTCCGTCTCTCCAAAGCCCCAGCCTCAAATTGCAACCTCCTGGCAGGTTAGCACTGTAAGGGGAAAACCCCCAAAGCGGGGCAGGCAGCCTCTGAGGCGGGGGGACAAAGTGGGAGCTTACCCCCCATGTGAAAAAAAGACTCCATATTGTCTGGAGCCACCAGATTTCTGCCTTTTTTTAATTAAAAGCTCCAAAGGAGAAGCAGATTGCTTGCGCCAGGCTCTCCTTCCCTGTGCGGCACGCGGCTGGAGTCCAGGCGCAGCAGACCCAGGAGTGGGCTGGGGTCTGGGGATGACCAGCCACTGACTTGATCCTTTGGGCTCTGCCCCTGTTCTCAGCTCAGCGCCCGGATCCACTCCAAGCCCCCAAGCGCCCTGGCTTGCAAAGGCAGCAGTACACCCCTCCCCCCCAATGCAATCCCAATGCTGCCTCCCCAAGGGACCTGAGCCCCCAGGATCCCAATGAAAAGGCGGGCCGGGGTGGGGTGGGTGGGCTGGTTTGCTTTCTGAAAGGCTCATTCTATAAATCTATAATATGTAACTAAACTATTGTTTTATGTAAAGTAAAAAAGGTTTTTAAAATGTTTAAGAAGCTTCATTTAAAATTAAATTAAAATGCAGAGCCCCCCGGACCGGTGGCCAGGACCCGGGCAGTGTGAGTGCCACTCCAAATCAGCTCGTGTGCCGCCTTTGGCATGCATGCCATAGGTGGCCTACCCCTGCTATAGAGGCAGAGGGTTGAAAGAAAAAAGTGGCAATTAGCCAATATCTAATTTGCAAAGCTGATGCTGTTCATTGCTTGCTGTGAAGGTGCATATTTTGCTTTTTATTTACCTGGGTTACTTAAGGGTATTGCCTGTTAGTACTCGCCATATAAATATAAAGTGTCCTGTGGTTTCCAGTTTGGGGATTTTGATATTTGAAGAACATTGGGTCTCTCCTGAGTTGTCATGCAAAGTAACCTTGCTAAAAGTGAGCATGCGATAGTCAGAAGACTGTGAAAAACTGGAAATCATTCAAAGGACCATTCTGTGGAATGGTACAAAGGACTAAGGGTGGAATTCACCCTGTGCTGGCCCTCTGCATAAAGTGGACCAAGGAAACAGACTAATATAGTACCAAATATAGGCTTAGTTACAAACCAGGCTCTGAATCCTGAGGAAAGAATGCCAGTTTAAGTTGGAACTGTATTATCAGAGGTTTCTGCAATGATTATCCATACAACTAAACATGACTTTTGTTTTTTATTTCCAAAGATTAATCTCAGTTTAAAAGAAATCCAGATAGTTTTTTACCTAAACATTTTACCACAGCAATCATGGAGAGTACTGTGGAAGCCCACTACAATTAGGCATTTGATAGATAGAGGGAAGAAGCAGTAGGATAAGAATGAAGGGGGGAGTAGAGGTCTGAATGGATCCAGGTATGATAAGAAAATTTAAAATACAGGCAACAGTAATAGCAGGGAGAATACTTAGAGAGATTCACCTGATACCACAGTCAACTGTGGATTTCGTCCTTGTGGTTTATGACGTTACCAAATATGTCAGTTATTTATTTCCTTGTATTATGTTGTTGCTTGGCATTTAGTCTACATTGTATTCACAAAGTCCCTTTTTATCAGCAGTGAAAAAGATTGGCTCCAAGTCATACCTATTTATCAGGTAAACTGTTGAGTGCTTTGTCTGGGATCTTTATCTAATGAGATCTCCATCATGCAGGTATGATGTTTGGCACTTATTTAACTTCCTATTTATGGTACCAGAGTATGTGTGTCAAGCAGAATGATGAACTGTGTCCCCTCAAGCGTATTTGTACGGGGATGGGGGAATTAAGGAGTTTTCCATCTGAAATACAGCAAATTATGTCAACAACTACATTTAGGTAAATTTAGCCCCAGGTATGTGCCTAGATGCAACAGTGATGGGCACCGTAGATATGCATAAAACAGATCAAATGAAGGAAGGAGAAGGATTTTGAAAGTCCTCTGTGACGGGTTGGATCACAGAAACCCCCTTGGGAGCTGCCATCCAGTGTACCAAGACTACCCCTGTTCCTGTTTTCCCTGCCAGCTCAGGACTCCAGCACCCTGTCTTGCTGAGCCAGACACTCCCGTCTGCTCCAACACTGACCCAGGGTCTGAATCACTTGTCCCAAAGATGCAAGTTTACCTGAAAACAGCTCCCAGAAGTGTGCTTGTCTTTAGCACTCAGATGCCCAACTCCCAATGGGATCTAAACCCAGATAAATCCGTTTTACCCTGCATAAAGCTTATGCAGGGCAAACTCATAAATTGTTCAACCTCTATAACACTGATAGAGAGATATGCACAGTTGTTTGCTCCCCCAGGTATTAGTACATACTCTGAGTAAATTACTAAATAAAAAGTGATTTTAGGATTTAAGTGGTTCCAAGTAGTAACAGACAGAACAAAGTAAGTCACCAAGTAAAATAAAATAAAATGCGCAAATCTATGTCTAATCAAACTAAATACAGATAATCTCACCCTCAGAGATGCTTCAGTAAGTTTTTTCTCAGACTGGACACCTTCCAGGCCTGGGCACAATTCTTTCCCCTGGTACAGCTGTTGTGGCAGCTCAGGCGATAGCTAGGGGATTCTTCATGATGGCTCCTCTCTCTCCTTTGTTCTCTTCCACCCCTTTATATATCTTTTGCATAAGGCAGGAACCCTTTGTCCCTCTGGGTTTCCACCCCCCTCACTGGAAAAGCACCAGGTTAAAGATGGATTCCAGTTCAGGTGACATGATTACATGTCACTGCAAGACTTCATTACTCACTTGCCAGCACACACATATACAGGAAGACTCACAGGTAAACACAGCCATCTGTAGACAATGGGAGTCATCAAGATTCCAAACCATCATTAATGGCCCACACTTTACATAATTACAATA